TGTTATACCGATACATACACGCACGCTTGCTCAAGTAGGCCTACAGGTAAAGTACCACACATCGTCCCAATTTTTTCTTGGAACTGAAAGTACATGTATTTTTTTTTTTTTGCGTAAAGATCCATTAAACCGTACGCATAGCCACTTCGTTAATTTATTCTAGCCGTAATTCTCATTTGTCTGGGCGTTTTATTTGTAGTCGGAAGTTCGAGCTTGCTCCTCAGTGAAAAGGAGAATATTAGATCGAGACCTAGATCTAGATCTATAACATTATTATTGATAGAGCGGGAAAATTTAGATCATGAAAAACAATACTACGAATAGGCATCTGTACGATCACAATTCTCGGACATTTTCGGTAAAAATATTTTGTAAGCGTCGGAAGTTGTGGTAGCGAAGACGGCGAATGTCAAAATGGCGACATTGAAGGTTTTCTGTGCTCGGTCAAACCGTAAGTTCCTTTCCTTTTTCTTATATTTTAATCATCACTTAACGGTTTACACGTTTTTGCTGCATACTCTGCTGGTAGGCCATACTTATATGATGCATTAAGTCAAAGGAAAAGTTTTGATGTCGTAAAGCGGGGGTGGTAGCCTACATTTCAATACCTCTGCAGAGGTATTTTCCATCATCACTTGCCCTGCCCACCCCTGCCCTAGTCCTAGTCTACATTCATCATAGCGTACTATACACAGTGACTCAGTGGACAGAACAAACTGCACATCCCAAGGGTAGACACAGAACTCTGAAGTTTACCTTCTTTAGACTGTCTGCCTACATACAAGAAGGCTACCCCTGCCTTGCAATGTGACTTGCAACTTGTTGACTTACACAACACACGTTACAGTTACAGTGTTTACATCCGTTGCAAGATCAAGACCCAAGTCCAAGATTCGACTCAGACTAGAATCTAGAGTCTAGACTAGACTCTAGATGTGGCGCCGGTGGCCTAGTGGGTAGGCTCTCGGACTCGCAACCGTAAGGTCGTGGGTTCGAATCCTGTCAGGGACCCGATGTTGTGTCCTTGGCTTGGGAAAAGGCACTTTACGAGTTTTCCTCACTTCACCCAGGCCCAGGTGGGAATGGGTACCCAGCTATAGGTCTAGACTGTGAAAGATCTTGTCAGTTTGTTAGTGTTTGAGGGCTTAATCAGCTGCTTGCACTGTGTGCTTCCGGGAAGCTGAGAATGTTTCTGAGTGTTCTATGGTCTGCTGGGACTGGGGCTGGGGTAATAATAAGGCCTTCGTAATAATAATATCGAAGTGGCTAGCCGTACTTTATAAAAGTACGGCTAGCCTGAGAGTCTAGCCGTATTTAAGTATGGCTAGACTGCCATACTTAGACTTAGATCTAGGTTTGGCCCTATCAACTCAAACCTGTAAAAGTAGTCTGTAGACAGGTCTCATTAGATCAAGATCTAGATATCTAGTAATTATTCAGGTTCAAATACATGCAAGTCAGTAAGGCACCTTTTGGTTTTGTCTAAAATACAAATACTTTAGGCATTGCAAACTAAAAATTTCGTTTACAATTCAGTCATCAATATTAAGTACGGCTAGCTTGACAGTCTAGCCGTCCTTAAGTGCTGCTAGCCAAGAATTCTAGCCGTACTTAAGTACGGCTAGACTGCCAGTCTAGCCGTACTTATCTTAGGCCCTATTAACATTAGAAAACAAGAATTCTAAAATTAACATGCACTGTCATTAAGGCACCTGGTTTCGTCTCAAATACAAATACACTTTAGATTATAAGTTTACTGCAAACTAAAAATTTATACAATTCAGTAGGCCTATTTTTTGTAATGGTCAGTCTTGCCATCATTATATTAAGAGAATAAGTACGGCTAGCCCAGCTGTCTAGCCGTACTAGCCAACCAGTCTAGTCGTACTTAAGTACAGTTTCTCCCCTTGTTAAATAATGACAAAAAGTTAAATTTAAATATTGAAAGGTCAGATGCTGTGAAACTTCTCCCAATGGCCAGTTCATAAATTTAATTTTAGAAGTTGTGTTGTGGGCAATTGGTGGGTTCTCTGGTGTTGTTTGTTTCGCTCTTTCCTATGATGAAACATCTATCATCCTTCGTCTTTTTTGTGTTTATTTCTCAATTATATATAACACTTAATCTTAAGCACTTATTTGACTATATTGTGCTGCAAATGCAGAAAAATTCTTTAAAAGCAAGAGAAGATAGGTTAGGGATATTATTGTTGGGTGTGGTTTGATTGAAGAGCATTTTTTGTTGTTGTCCATTGTAATATATACAGTATAACACGTGTAGCTCAAATTCCGTCAGGACCGGCCTCAGGAGATTGAGGGATAGGTGAATAGTGTTATGGCATTGACTGTGTCAAGAGAATCAAGGGAAGCAACAAAGATTGCTACGTTACGGGCAAAACAATAGATGATGTGAAATACGACCCTTCCTTTCGCCCGCTCCACACCAACCTAGCTAGGCCAAGGGCCTGGGCACGCTGCAGGCATACATGTCGAGCATAGCGCTAAAAATAGCGTGGCTAGCTTCTTCTGTGGAGGGGGGAAGGTGGTATTTTATCAATTTTGCCTTTTTTCGTTAAAAATTATATATTTTTTTTGTCCCAAGTGCATCCTAAAGGACATTGACTTTAGACCTCTACGGCAGCGTAATTAGTTCGAGTATTCCGCGTTTGTGCTCGAGCTTCGCATGAAGAACAAAAAATGAGACGGCAGGCACCGTTCGACGGATGTGTGATTTCAAGTCTTCTGTGTTCAACCTATCCATGTTATACTGTATTTATAATTTATCATCACCAACCTTTCTCACCCCATGTTAGAGTATGAAAGGCCAATAATTTGATAGATATATATATATATAAGTGTAAAAGAAAATAAATAGCATTTTATGTTTTTCTCCTTCCTTGCCAGTTCAAGGTTTACTGAGGAGTGCTATCCGTCCTGTGTGCGCCACACAGCAACACAGAAACCACTTCAGTGAGTCATTGGTTTTTGGTTTATTCTTTAGATTTTCTTCTATTATTGTTTTGCTAACATCAGAAAAAAAATTTCGCTAGTAGTTCCAAACGTTGCTGTAAGTCCTTTTTCTTTTCTTTCGATCTCTGTTTTTGTCTTTTGTCTGTCTGCCTTTCTTTTTCCTTTCACTGAAGGAATGGCTCTTTTGTTGTATAGGAATGTGCTGGACTTTGTACAGAGACAAAGAAGATGGTATGACGCAAAATTTCTTTTAGAATGAAACACTCTTCTTTTTTTCATTGATGGTGAACCAAGGGTTATTGAATGGTGTTGTAAAATATTTGATTAGGGGTAATAATGATTTTTTAAATTGATCTCCTGCACAGTGGATATGTGTAAGTGTGAAGACTTCGCCACCTTCAGGTATTAGGGAAGAGTTTTAAGTCTCCCTTAGCTGAAATGCTTTAACACTTTGCAGTAACTTGGCGCAGATGAAAATTTTTCTCTCCGATTACCTGCCGCAGAATTGCGCCAGGCCCAAGAAGTCCGTTGCAGTCGCTCTCCTGGCTGGGTGACCAGAAGAGTATTTTATACTGCTGGCTGTGTGACTGCAAAGTGTTAATCTCTCACTGAGTTAATAACCAACATGAATGAATTATTAAGTAGGCATATGCACAGTTGCATGGAAATATGAAACTACTTTGGCTACTGGTAGGGTAAAAAATTATATTTTAAAATCACAACTTTACCTTTTATTGTCTAAATGTCAATTTGAAATTGACAATGACTTTATTTTGCCTCGGTTCTAGGCATGTCTCAAAAAATTTCTAGTCCGGATGATTCCCTTTGTGTCTTTAAAAGCAGTTTTTAACTAAAATAATGTTGTAGAGCTAAGAACTAGTAGGTAAAATCTAGCTTGAAAATGAAGCTTTGTCCTTATGCCTATATTGTTTTGTTCTTAGATTAAGACTAAGAAGAGTATATTTAATTGCAGTTCAAGTTGGCCAAAAGGAAAAATCCCTGGAATGGAGTCCCATCATGGATAGAGCAGCCACGTCTGTCTTCTGGAATGAACTCTTCAGAGGTAATTATGTGATTGTAACACTTCTCTCTCTCTCTCTCCTTCTCTCTCTCTCTCTCTCTCTCTCTCTCTCTCTTTTTTTTGGGGGGGGCAGGGGTTGCTTTTAACTGTACCTTTGTTTTATGCTGTAATTAGTAATGATTAAATGAGCAAAATTATAAAGTTTATAATTTATTTTAAAGTTCTCAAATCAGGTACAATATATTTGTGTTGAGACAGCCAAAATTGTTCAAGATGGCTGCCTATGGTACCTCTGCATGGTAAAGGATTCAGGTTGTTTTTTTTATATCAGGGGCTTTCTATGGAAGATTTGAAGTAGAAGGCTCTGTTTGGGGTGGGGGGTTTCCTAAAGTTTTGTAACCCTGCATGAAAGCAGTCTTTTAGCCCAGTTTTCAGTTTTTCCAAAATCTTACCTTCCCGATGGCTTTCTCGTATGTGACAGGTCTTGGCATCACTTTTGGTATGGTCCTGAAGGAGCCAGCCACCATCAACTATCCTTTCGAGAAGGGCCCTCTGAGCCCACGGTTCCGTGGGGAGCACGCTCTGCGCCGCTACCCGTCGGGGGAGGAGCGTTGTATCGCCTGCAAACTGTGCGAAGCCATCTGTCCTGCTCAGGTTGGTTGGTGATTGCTTTTTTGTTTGTATGCCTTTGTTTTGTTGCTTTTTGTTCTTTTTATATAGTCGTGATTTTGTTCATCTTTCTGGGTATGGGGAGAGGGGGATGGTGGGGGGGGGGGGGGGGGGTAATTCTAGTTGTAAGTTCCTGGCTCTACCTTTCAGGGTCTGATGAAGATGATGAGGTGGGATTGTGGTCTCCACACAGATTTGTCGTTTTTTTTCTCCTGTGCTGCTGTCATGCAACTCGGTTGGTGTGCAGTTTCTGTAGAGATTTATTTTGCAAAAGTGTTAAAGATGACTAGATTTTATACGAGATGTGCTGTCAATGTTTTGCAAACTGACACATTACCAAGATATGAAGTGTTTTTTTCCAATGTTGATTCCTATGCAGCCTACATGGCGATCAAAATGTTTTTAATCTTAGGTAAACCTGAAGAATGATGTCTATGATGCTTCATGCCTGATCTTAGGGAATGCAAATTTGTCACATGATAAACTGTTTGCAAAGCTAGATAGTCTATTTTTGTGAGCTTCTTCAGAAAAAAACTTTGTAGGGGGTCAGAGGAGGCTACTGGTAGGTCTTTCTTCTTTTCTTTCTGTCTGTCTTTTGCTGTATTCAAGCACCAAGTGGCTTGTGTCAAGTTTATGTGTGATTCACTATACTCAAACTAAACTAAACCAAGTGGTTGGCTGTTGCTCTGATGTGGTTTACTTCTTCTTTTCTATTAAACCTGAATTGCCCTGATCTCTCCCTTCTTTCTTGTTCCTGATCTCTCCCTTCTTTCTTGTTTGATTCTTTTCTTGTAACACCTCTAACCTTCGGCACCTCTATATGACCTTATGTGTCACAAGTACAGTAAAACTTACTAAAACAAAAACTAAACCATGAAGTAGCTTTGTTTCAGTCAAATCTAGCGAGACGTAGCTTTGAATTAATGTCAGTTATTTGATCACCGCAGGCTATCACAATTGAAGCAGAGCCCCGTGCCGATGGCAGCAGACGTACGACTCGTTACGACATCGACATGACCAAGTGTATCTACTGTGGTTTCTGCCAGGAAGCATGCCCCGTGGATGCCATTGTGGAGGTACGTCGGTGTTTTGAACCTTGTCTGCTCTCAAAACTCAAATAGTCAGGGTTTCTAGCCTGCGTTGTGTTTGTTTCTCTGGCCATGCAAAAGGCATGCTTGTCCTATTGATGATGAGAATGGAATTGAATAGTAGGCATTTGGTGTTGAGGCATTTTTTCACATCCATGACAGTGACATAATTAAAATTGCATTTTCGCAACAAATGAAAACGTTTCATTATGATCCGATTTTTATGGTTTTGGCATCGATATGATTGGAATTTTTTTTTTTAATCTGCGGACTGAAATAATTTATTTCAAACGATATAATTTAAACAATTTGGTTGTCTTTTTGTCCAGGGCCCGAATTTCGAGTACTCAACAGAGACGCGTGAGGAACTGTTGTACAACAAAGAGAAACTTCTCAGCAACGGAGACAAGTGGGAACCCGAGATAGCCGCCAACCTTCAGGCCGACTACCTCTACAGATGAAAACAGTTGCTGTCTTGTCTAGAGGTCTTTGTACATATTCTCTCTATGTTTTTGTGTACGAATGCAAATTCTCTGATGTATGGAACACACCAGGTCTCTGAAAATTTACAGTGTTGGATCGGTTTTGATCTTAATGGTTTGCAATTTTTTTAAATCATCCGAGCTTGTAGTGTAGATGATGTTCTGGATTTGCACCTTGTTCATGTACCAGACATCTGTTTCATGTTTCCATTGATAGATGTAAAACGTGTGTTGCCAAGAAGAAAGAAAGTTCATGCCAAGACTTGAGAATCTACTAGGGGGGCAAAGGTGTAAATCTCTGAGGGAACCTCAATGTTGGGAAGTGCAGAAAGGCTGCAGAGTTTGTGTTTGTGCTAAGCTCTGTTGTGATACTGAGAATGTATTGAACAGGAAAATAAACTCATTAATAATACAAACTTGGATTTTGTCACTTTTGTTATCTTTATTCATAGAATAACGCTCCCAACTGTACAGGTTTTTGTAGAATACACATGACAGTCAAGCACAAACATAGCGAAATCACAAGGTGTAGAAATCATTTCGTTATGTGTAAAATATAAGTGTTTTGAAACATAGGAACTATCCATGTGCAACAAAAATTCAGGTCCTGAAAATCTGCTATGTGTGCTTTTCACTATGTGCGTGCTTGACTGTAGTTTTTCTTGTGGCCTGCTGGTTCTACTGGTTTCATAGTGGAAAGTCATTTGACTGCTGTGTGGTTTGTGTTGGTTCTACAACAACTGTTTTCCTATTCATGTTAGGAGTTTTCATTATCTTTCATCTCTGAATCCCATACATTTCTTCACAGGATTTAAAAGTATACAAATACATGCCTGAAAAATAGTCGTTTAATAATGCTACAAATACTGAGCTCATACTTCAAGTAACATAAAAAATATACATTTCACAAGTCAACACACAAAGCACGCTGCGTAGCCAATACATTTTTTGTAACCTGTAATAATATTTCAACATTTAACAACTATGGTACTTTGGCATTTATATGACCTTATTGTGTTACAAGTGCCATAAAACTCTCAACTAAAAAAAACAATAAACAAGTACATCCTATCCTTTCCCTGATGCTTCTTTCTCATCTGGCCTCTTTCTTTCTTTACCACATTCCACAGCTCATCTAGTCTATTACGTGGCAGAGTGTCCTACCACCCACAGTCTCTTTATCTATTTGAGAAGGATTACTGAGGAGTGGTGATGGAAAGAACAGTGTTGAATTTTTCTGTGACTTGCATCCAGGTGCCCAAAATGCCTGTCACATAAAATTTATACTAGTGAGTTTCGAAGTTTCTGCTGCTTGTAAATACAAGCCACTTTCAAGGAAGTAACCCAACTGAGCTTCAAGAGCGGACAGTAAACCAGAGTTAATCACAAATAGCCACAGTGATGTCTTCCATGTCCTTGCCCTTCATGGAACTGCTGATTGTTTTTTCTCAGGAGAAGTTGCAGGGAATTTGAGAAATGTAAAACTTATAGCATCACAAAAGGAATCAGCATATGCCCTTCCAATTTTCATTTCAAAATGATATACTTCTAAAAATTTCACAGGATGAGAAGATGAAACCATTGTCTAAAATAGGCCTACTTCCTTTTGATCCCATGTTCCAAACAAAATCCTTCTCATTAATTTCTGAGTCCACAATAGTTCCGATCTGGTCCAGAAAGGTCAGATGTGTCCCTCAGTTACAAAAGGGTTAATTTCAACATGTGAAGAAAGAACTCTGCCAACTCTTTGACAGACGTCATCACATTGGTTATGAAAACCTCTTATATAATAAGGCATGGGCTGCACAGGTAAAAAAAAGGATTTTTTTTCTGTTTCTTTCCGTTCACTGCTCCTTGGACAACCCTTCCTCTGCTATTCCTCCAGAATCTGACTTCTCTTTTTCTCACTCACTGCTCTGTCACTTGTGAGGTACTGTAATTTTCTCAACATTTTTGATTAGAACTCGACCTCTCCTGAACACCAAGCTACTTTCTTTCTTTTTTTTTTGGTTGCCTCTTCCGCTATCGCCTCTCCAGTCTCAGACATTTTGAATGACCACACCAAGCAAACTTGTCTGTTGTTGCTGTGTCCGAAATCTTCATCTCCTTTCTCTTTACCCAATCTTCGTGTACTTCTAACTTATTCTTTTGACAACGACCTGTCCACCTTCTGTCATAATTGGCGAGCTGACCAGTGAATGTAAGTTTGAAAAAGTAAGTCGCCCAGATTCCTACAAAGGCCAAAAATTGACCTGCCAGCAATGACCTACATTCAGGCCATGAATGAAAACTGGATATATGTGTTGCTAAAACATATAATTACAATATTGATCTTTCAAATGATGATAAATTAAAATTTCATTGTCTATCACAAAGCATCGTATGGCATAGCAAGTCCAATATTGTAATCAGAGGCTTCTGGTTCTGCATATGTTGACAAACAGACGTCTGGAATTCCTTGCCGTAGCTGATTTGCCAGGAAGTCGTACACCTGGACTGTTCCTCTGTACCTTTGAAGAGAAAAAGTTATACTTCATTACTTATACAATCAATGAAATAGAATTATAGTATAGTGCTTATGCATGCCTGTAACCTTAGCTATAATCACAGAGAGCTTAAAATCAGATGGCTGCACGAGTTAGAAATGCGGATGTCAAGAGAAGCATGCATTCACAAGTGGAAATAAAGCTTATGCTCAAAATGTGGCAAACTCTTCTCTGCCAGAATTAGTTTCATTTGCCATAGCACAAATCGCAAATTAATTTAATACTTATGTCTTCTAGTCTTGAATGCACAGATTTTTAAATATTATATACATTGTATTCTTTGTATCTAAAACATGTACATAGTCAAATTTGTACATAACAAAAAGATTTCTCGGTCCAACGGATTTCTCTCTGTGCATGCTAGACTGTATTTCTCTTCAAGAAATATTCTCCTCAGCAGATGCATTGATCATCGTTAGGCACTGGCCAATGAACTATTATTATTATTATTATCCCTCAAGAGAAGATTACATATTGACTTTGCTATAACTCCATTACTCCATTGGCAAGCTAGTTCATTTTACTTTGTTACCTCAGTGCCCCCAAGTCTCAGGCGCACACAGCGTGGCAGTATGTTACTAAGAAAGACTCAACAAAATCTAACCACCTAGGTGAACAAACTATTGGAATGGATTCTCTGTACAAAAATGAGGACGGTACAAATGATGATGACAATCTTCATTCATCTCATTGTCTCACAGGGAGAAATTTGTCTTGGTCGTTTACAATGGCATTGGAATGTTACAAAGGTTAGGTGCACACACGCATACATACAACAAAAAGACAGGACATTAGTAAATACACGTTTTACTCTCTATCTCTCTCTCTCTCTCTCTCCCTCTCCCTCTCTCTCTGATTCATTTGTTACAGTATTGAAATAGAAGCAACACTTGAAACATTTTTTTCTAAAATTAAAACAAATTTCCCACATCAAAAGTGAGGGCAGTGCATTTGAGACAAACAAGAGAGAAGATGTGATGTTGCTCAATTACCTGAGGGAAGAAACCGTCTCAAACTCGTCTTCCTCTGGAAACTTCTGATAAGGCACATTTCCTATGATGAGCAGTCGGTCCTCAAAGTGGCAATACTGCACAGGATGTCTGAAACAATCAACAGTTGTGAGTAAACAAACTACAAGTTCAGCATAACATGCAAGTAACGGAAGGGTCGGAAACTATACCTTATTTTTTTGTCTCAACTGACACAGCCCGTAGGTAATTTTGAATCTGGACACAAATAATTTGTGACCGCTTCATGACCTCACGGGTGTTCTCACAAAAAGTTAATAAAGAAAATAATATCTAAATTCGATAAAACCCCTAGGTGTGGCATATAGACGTTCAGAATAAAAAATGCAATTAAATGACACCGAAAAAAGAGTTGAAATGTAAGTGGTAAGGAAAAAGTAAAAGAGGAAAGTGATGTGTGAAGAAAGGGAGCAATATAGAAGAACACAGGAGACAGCTGCTGTGAGCGGCGCTGCGGGCTGAATCAGATGTACCTGTCTTTACGACCTCATCAACACAATTTAGATCATTCATTTAGGAGGCGGGCTTGGACCCTGTCAGGACCAATCCAGGCTGAGAAGGAAACAATATCCCAGCAGAAAGACCTAGATACTCAAAAAAATGTTCTCTCTCTCTCTCTTTCTTCTGGCGCTGTGGCGTCATAAACGGTCAACGATGCTGACAGCACGTAGGAACTCAACACTTGCCCGGGGGTCCTTGAAAAGTGCTGAAAGTGGGTTACTGAAATGTCCCAGAAAAAATAATGTTCTCTACTCTGGAATCAAACTCGGGTTTCTTGTGTTCAACAGTGAAGCATCTACCCGCTACATCACAGATGCCGCTGCTATTCCTGCACTTATGAAAATTTCTCCCAAAAAATGTTTTAAAAAATTATGTTTTAATGGACAACCAGTACAGCATCTAACTTTCTAAGAAGCAACTTTTGAGGACACCTGAAAGGCCTTCAACATCTTGTTCTCACTGGCAGAATAGAAGGGAAAAGAAGCAGAGGCAGACTTAAAACAGATGAGTGATCGGAAAAAAACCAGCAAAAAAAAAAAAGAGCAGGTTACTATAGGTTCTCTGCCAGCATCACAGAGCAGAGAAATGAGCGCACACCCATGATTGTAGACACCTGTTTTCTTGCTGTCCTCAGAGAAAGTTGCATTTGAAAATAGCAAAAGTTGCAAGAAAAAGTAGCTAAAGTTGCAAGAAAAGTTGCAAGGCGTACGTATAGCTAAAACAATGCCACGGAACTATTGGAATACATTGTATTGTTGCTATGCTCATTGCAATCAAAAGTAACCAATATGAGTTTTGTTAGATCAAAATCAAAAGTTAAATGTGAATGTCTACCAAAAAAAAAATTGCTTGGAGTACAAAAACAGTTTGTCCCCTGACACATGCGTCAGGTCCTTAAACTCTCGCTGACGTTGGGCAGGTGTGGCCGGCGTGGTTTTGAGGCTGTTCAAATAAAATCTTACACTTTGTTTGGGACTTTTTGCCCCCCCTCCCGCCCTTACACTTTTTTTAACACTTTCCTGCAACACCCCCCCCCCCCCAAATCCCGTATATTACGTTATTCGCTTATAATAATAATATGACATTTATATTGCGCAAATCCGTGTTACAATCACTCTTCTATGCGCTTTACTTTTAAATTATTAATTATGGTATTCATGAAAAACATGTATACACATACATGTGACATAATAATTCAATACGCTATAAAAATATCGGAACTTTTCCAGAAAAACTTACGGTGTCATTTTACCACTTTAACCGCACCGGTGTAATCAAAATTAGACGATCTAGATCTACATGTCATGTAGCCCAGATATCTACCAGTGTATTAAGTGCGAGATGACATATTATATCGTGCTTGCCGCTCGAGGTCCACTGTATCTCCACAATGCAGTGCTTACCGCTCGAACTTAACTCTAAGTCTAAGTGAATAGTGTAGAGTTACTCTCTTTTTATGCTATTAACAAAAAAGTTACGATGCCATTTTCCTTGATTATTTCTTTCACCTTACAAAAGTGTAATCTTATATTGGTTAACCCCCCCTCTTTTACACTTTAACTTTTACAGGAGTCAAAGGACCCCCCCCCCCCCTTTTTTTCTGGCGCAAGATGATATTATTTGAACGTCCCCTTCCCTTTAGGGGTTTTCTGGATGAATCGATCCATTTTAGATCTACCCTCCTTAGCCTAAGATTTAAAGTCTTTCACAAATTTTTATACTAGATCTACCCTGGTGCTACGGAACAAAGCAAGCTAAGTAATCAGACGACCGTGTTTACGATTGATTTACTCTAGCTAGACTAGTCCAAACAAGACTATTGGGTCGGTCTGCTCGCTAGATTGATAGTGCAAAGCAGCTATCGTGGCTCAAGTCGATCGCGCCCGACTCGTTGTTTCAAAACAAACACGTTGTTTTCAGGCGACGAGTCGGGCGAACATCCCGACCCGACCTGACCCGGCCCGGGTCACTGGGCCTGGGTGGCGGCGGGCACCCGTAGGCTAGTGCAAAGCGTAAAGAAGCGAATTGTCCCCCTTGGCAACGTTATTTTTAGCTTTGGAAGAAAATTTCGGTGTTTTTAATGAAATTTTATTATTATTTTTCCGAATTTTGCGGGAAATTGGCTAAAATTAGCGAATTCACGAAAATCGTAAAAGTTGCGCGACGGCAAAAGTTGCGCGCGCAAATTGCGGGTTGCGGGCGCAAATTTCTCTGAGGACAGAAGAAGCGCTTTGAATATGGACTAAAAACAGCGTCAATTTGTAAACCAACATTGGTGGGTGGTCTGGTATGGTTTGCTCCTACTTTCATATCAAACTTGTACTGGTATCATCCTTGATACGGTAGGCCTACTCTCCTTCTTTTCTTATAGCTAGTTGGCAGGTGCTCTGGTGTGGTTTGCTCCTTCTTTCCTATCAAACATCTATCATCCTTATCTCCCCTCCTTTTTGTGTTTGATACTCTTTTGCAACACCTCATCTTCGGCACTTATATGACCAAATAGTGTTGCAGATGCCATAAAACTTTTACAAAAACAAAAACTTCTTTTCTTTATATATTACTGAAAGGACACACTTCTAATCTTCAGCACTTATATGGCCTATTTGTGTTGCAAATACCGTAAAACTCAAAGCAAAGCTAAATCAACCTGTTGTGGACATCCCAGAGCTTTTTCGACATCCTCTGGTCCCACACGTGGACAAAACCGCCCTCGTCTCCCGACACGATTTTCCACTCATCCATCTGGACACAGGTCACTTTAGCAATGTGTCCCAACAGGGTGAACGTCGGAGAATGGCCAGCCCGAAGGTCATACAACCTGATTCTGAGGCAAGAAAAGGCATGGGATCATTACTAGATCAAGGCTCAAAATAATAATATGTGAAATTTAAATAGCACTCCACCCTGATTAAAGAATACAGGCCCTGAGCGCTTTACAAACACAATAGCAACAAATAAACAGTAAGCTGTGCTCTGACTCTGACTAAAAATCTAGATTCTCTTTAATCTTAAAACAAAAATGACTTAAGCTGACTTTCTAAAGAGTTAAAAGACTTCATCTCTCTAATGTATCACAAGGCAGTGCATTCCAGATCTTGTGGCCATGAAACTGTCCCCATGGTTTTATGCATCCCGCATAATTTAGAAAAATTTGATAATTTTTTGCATAATTTCGGATTATTTTCCTTTATCATCATTCTTTATTAAAAATTAACAGAATCGCATAATTTCAGAATTTTTCTTGCATAAAAGGACTGGGACAGATGAAATGTGAGTCTGTGCATGTGAGTGTGTGTGGTCCTGTGCGTGTGAGTTGCATGTGTGGTCCTCTTTAAGTGAGTGTGCGCATGCGTGCGCGTGTGTATGTGTGTGTAACGTGTGTGTGTTTCTGTGTTATTTCTTCATTTATATGAGGAAATATTATTAACTCTTTTTTTTTCAGTTATTGTTTGGTACTTTGATTTTTGTAAAGTGCCTAGTGCTGTGTGTACAAAAAAGTAGGCGCTCAATTGTTATCATTCTTCTTCTTCTTCTTCTTCTTCTTATTATTATTATTATTGTTGTTGACTGAAAGTGTTTTAACCCATAAAGTAAAAACTAAAACTACCCCCTTAAAAAATGAATCTTTATTTTCACCACTCACTTTCTGTCTCCACTGCCGGTGACAACTTGTGAGCTCAGAGCTTCTGGCAAATCCATACAGCTGATGACCCAGGTGTGACCACTCAGGGACGCTTTCTGCTGATTGGTCGGCACGTCGTACAGATTCACCTGTTTGTATTGTTAGAGAAAGATTCATAATATTAACATATTAACAATAAGCAATGAAAGAAAGACTCCTCATACTCTGCCCTGCAGAGTTACGTGACTTCAGTGACATTAGAAATACATGTCCAGGTCTGCTTGCCCTAGCTCATATCTTAGCCTTTTTCAGCCTTATGTGAAACTATATAGGCCTACAGGTACTGAGTCTATTTCAAAGGTGACTGGAAACTTGTATCTCATATTTTGACACAAATTTAACAAATAGTGTTATCACATTGAAGCATTAAGCTCAAAATTGTATCCATTTTAAAAAAAGAAGCAGAAATGCAAATTAATCCTTCTGCCTCAAGTGAGCTGCCAATGTTGAAATCTTTGGGTGCCTCTACATGGTAAACAGTTCTGGAAAACTATGGCAAGACATCGTTATATATATCACCGTATCGCCACTATTCTTAACTCCACCAAACATAGCCTGACCTTGACTTTGGAGGCTGGCTCCGCATGCGTGTATCCGACTGCAATTTCTTGTGCACTGCTCCGACAGTTAACGTTTGAGATGGGGGCCCAGATTATGTTGTGAACCTGAAGATCAGAAAGTATTTACAAATATTTTACCAACTCAAACTCTTTGCAACCAAGTTTTCCATTATAATTATATATTAAAAAGACCTGTAATAAAATTTTCCCTTTCAAATTCAAAAGATCTCTCACATGGTCTTACAAAACTAATGCTATCTCTTGAGCAAAATGAGTGAACACAGAGGTTCCGGTTTTTTTTTTACCATAATAATGAAACTGCTAGATTTTCTTTGGTTTAGCCGAGTTTTTTTGGTATGGAGAAGTTGTTGAAATAGAAGAAAAAAGTGAGGGATTTAAAAAAATTTTTTAGGTGAACACGTTTTCAGATTAACCATGACTGGTTTAGGCAGACTCCAAAGTATCTTTCATATTTCATTACTAAATTCATAAAGCTTACTGGTGCTGTTTTCTACTGTCTTTGCACAAAAGGGTCTAGTTTTTGAATCACGATTAACTGAAAATTTATCAAAACTACCTTCTTGCAAGATGTCATCTTATCAACTTATCACAAATACAGTCCTTTTATGTCCAGACAACCCGGAAGTGTAGGCCCAGGGTTGAGTGAGTCAACCAGATTGGCTAGTCCTCATAGATCCATTAAATCTAAGGTCCCACCTCACAGTGTTGAATATGTTTTGTCAGCACGTGTGTAATTTGCAGTTTGCACGATATACTTTCCGGTAAGCCGAGAATGTTTCTGAGTCATGTTATTAAGTCTGCTGTGGTAAAGATGGTTGTAAAGGGTGTTCAGACCGCTGTAGAGCAAGGATATGAGATATATTATAATGCAATTATTATTACTGTTATTATTATTATTATTATTATTATTATTATTATTATTATTATTATTATTATTGTGATTATTAATGTAAACCCATTCCAAAGCGTTACCCTGAAAGGATGTAACTGTGATATATTCTTCCTTTCTACTTACCTCAGTCATGCTGTTCTCCTTCACATCCACTGCTGCCTGGGATGAAGAGACACTGTTTTCTTCCATGGGTTTCAAAAACACCGAACTGTGACAACACAGAAGTAGTTGAGGGAGGCTGGTTGAGGGAGAACTCTCATACCATAGCACTTTCTCAACCTGAAGGTACACAAGTTTTGGTTTAGTTTTTGTTCCGGTTCAAAACTCGGTGAGACACAAAAACCCCCACAAAGGTCATCCTTGTAACCAGGGCAACTTGAACCCTTCTTTATCAAAGCACTGACCCCTATCCCAACTGAGCACTGGACTGAGACAATTAAGAGGACATGTACCACAACGGAGGTGTCAATAGCTTTCTTTTAAAAAAAATCCAGAACTTTTCAGACACAGTGAAAAGGCATGAAAAGAGACTCAAAATTTAAGGATCCTATCATCTACATGTGATTATACGCGTACATCTTGTATCGAGAAGAGATTACAACCACCGTTACTATTTATAACATGCATGAACAAAATAACAGCAGAAGCTAAAACAGAAAACAATACAATCAACCAGCTTCTTTTTGCTGTCGATCAGAGCACACAAAGCCACAATTACAAGATTCTCTCAACTTTGTAGGCATAGATTTGTGTCTGACAGACTACCAGCCACTGCGGTTAGGAAAGAATGACAACTTAAGGACAAGAAACACCAGATGTGTATTTTGCACAAAATGAAATGCCACAACTCTGAGAGACTTACCGCTTTTTTCACATCAAAATCTCGTACTATCACTCCCTCTTGACGGTTGACTCGCGAGATTTGAACTCGTGTGGCTTGAGTAGCAGCGACAAAGGACTGGGAGGGTCCCACGTCACATGCACAGACACTGGAAACCACCGGATTGCGGAAAGACAAGGTGTGGATGGGTTCTGTCCCCTCCTCGTTGTGCCAAACATCCACAAAACCTGGAGAAGTGAGGAGCAGGCGGAGGGTATAGAGGTTTGAGGATCATCGTGATTACGATTCAAGCGCACATTATGTTGATAACACGGAACTTGATTTTTTTAAACAGGAAATCCATTGTGGAAAATGGGAATTCCACTTCATTCTGCTGGCATTAATGATGATAATTTATGGTGTGGGGGGACCAGTGGTTAGGATGTTGCCAATTTTATTCTCAACAAAGAGTGACTGTCTTAGACAGTTTCTGTAATGTTAGTATACACACACGACTGTAAATGGGAGAGACGAACACACACGACACCAAGCCATCCAATGAGCCCGGGTGCAGTTTCTGACTTTTTATGTCGATCCCCAAAGTGAGTAACATTAACCAAAAGCCCATGGCATCCGGTGTGCTTCCGGCCCGTGATTAAAAAAGAGTAAGGTATGAAACTGTGACTACCGTGACAGTTTCAACTGTATTATAATTTGTAGACCATGGCCTGTAGCCCTATGAATGTAACAAAAAGTAAACCCAAACGTACCATGCCTGAAAGAGGCGGTTGTGATAGACGGTGTGACTGACAGCTGTGTGACCTCATTACGGATACGGCCCAGGTCTTCCGCAGCCTCATCAATGACCAGTGCCGTGTTGCTAGCGGTCAGAGTGCAGATGTCACCGGTTTCAGCGTCCCAGCTCCGGATGTTACAACTCGTGTACCTGAAGATGATAGAGTTTTGTTTCTTTAAAATTTTAGTAAGTGCTTTATGGTACTTGTAATACAACAATATAAATAGATCATATACAGTGCAGCCTCTCTATAACAACATCGTCAGGACCAGAAAAAAATGTCGTTATAGAGAGGCAACCATAAATATTACTAATTACAAGGAAAAATCGGGACCTGGGCACCATGTCGTTGTTCAGAGGATGTCGTTATATAAAAAAAAGAAGGAGGAGAGATAGGACGATAGATGTTTGTAAGGAAAGGAGAAGAAACCCAAACCAGAGCATCAGCCAATCACCCACAAAAATAATAGAACAAGTATTTCCAGTAACTGATCCCACATAACCCTACATAGACGGCTAAAAAGTTGCCTAGGAGATAAATACAGAAAGAAAAGTGGAGAAAAATTATTTCTTGTCTACTTTTAAATCAATACAGATTACTGGTACCTCTATTGTGATGGTAAAGCTCTTCACCCTAAAGAGAATCCTACATGAAGAAGATATTTCATCAAGCATTTCTATCCTGCTTGAACATGATAACCTGCACTGCCCTGCTTCGCCCTAAGAGGCATGATAAAAGTAACTTGCCTTCTATATAATCTGAGTCATGTTGAAGGAACAACAAATATTCGCAACCATTTACAATCAATCATCTCACACTAAGTCGTCAAAATTTGAATTGTAGGTATAATCCAGAACTGTTGTTAATTCAAACACTACATACAACCCTGATTATATTTCAGGGTTTAATTCATAAAACAATCATCACTGGAAGAACTATAGAAACCGTTCCGTTTCAAAATAAAAATATGAACACAAAGGGTTTTATCAAAAGACAGGTGCCACTTAAGAAATACAGTGGAGTTCTCTTAAACCGAAATCTGCAGGACTACCAAATTATTTTAATCAGTTTAGCTGTGTTTTCAGTTTACAGAGATTGCTCAAATAGCTAAAACAAAAAAATTTTAAAAAACATTCAGGGAATCTATTTCATTTAGATTTACTGCTCTTTTCGGATTAACCATGTTTGGTTTAAGTGTACTTCCCTGCAATATATGTATATATATATAGATCTAGGCCTGCCACACTCATGCCTCACCCAGCAACAATCTTGGACCCCATGGAGGAGGCAGCACACAAAACTCCGCCCCGGGCAAAGTTTAAGTTGTAAGGTTTTCCAACACGAGCCTGTATGATATAAATTGAAACACATTAGAACATAAGGGAAAAAGTCTTATTACTTGGGTTGTTTGTATTTTTATTAGAGCTTTCTTGCTCCCTCCTACACACACATATATATATATATATATATCAGAGTATATTTTATTTGTTGAAAAGGCTTATCAGTTCTGACAATGCTCAGCTATCTTGTAATCAAATCGATCTAAGAGGAGTTCAATGGAAAAGAAGCCCCAAGCCAAGCAGACAATAGTCATAACAAAATTATCAAACAACTGTAGCATACCGCCCTAGAAGGAAAAGGTCAAACAGTCGTTGAGGTCAATATGATGGCCCCAATAGAAATCAGGAGTCGACATGTACTATAGCTAGTGTTGAAATGTCGCCTAACTTTTAACCCATCTCTTATCATTTATCAGAAAGAGCCTTCACCCCTTGAAAAATTTCCAGAAAATCATTACATTTTATTCAAAATAACACCATCAATAAATGTACCTTCCAATTAGCAATCAGTAGACGCTTTTGCTCTTGATGCCGCCGCACAGTATCCTTCCAGCCCTCTCCCTGGCTGACATGTGTGTCTGTGTCATATCCCAGTGTGTGGCAGATCTGACACCATAGCAGTTCATCATTTGCAAGGCTGTGCCAACTGCGACTAACCTGAAGAATATTGCTTTCTTGATTTATTCATTTACAAACCATAACACTTATTATGCATCATATCTGTTTTCAAAATTATTACAGTTTGTAAACTTCCTGCAGTCGCAGGATTATCAAATACAATGGAATTTAACTTACTTGCGCCTGAGCCATTTTTTACCCATCAACCATTGCAGCATGACACTTTTGGGGTATATTGAAGCTTTTTTTTACCACAAAAGGACTGTAAAAGCTATAAAAAATGTTAAAAGGCAATATGAGAAAGAAAGAAAGAAATGCTCTGCAAGAAAAAGAAAACAGCATCTAATTTCTCCAAAACTTTTTTATTTTATCAATATTTTGAAATGGCAATGTC